GTGGCATGATATAATTAAAGTGATGAAAGGGAAAAACCTACAACCAAGATTACTCTACCCAGCAAGGATCTCATGCAGATTTGATGGAGAAGTCAAAAGCTTTAGAGACAAGCAAAAGCTAAGAGAATTCAGCACCCCCAAACCAGCTCTAAGACAAATGCTAAAGGAACTTCTCTAAGTGGGAAACACAAGACAAGAAAAGGACTTACAAAAAAAAACCCCAAAACAATTAAGAAAATGGTAATAGGAACACACATATCGACAATTACCTTAAACGTGAATGGATTAAATGCTCCAACCAAAAGACACAGGCTTGCTGAATGGATACAAAAACATGACCCATATATATGCTGTCTACAAGAGACCCACTTCAGACCTAGGGACACATACAGACTGAAAGTGAGGGGATGGAAAAAGATATTCCATGCAAATGGAAATCAAAAGAAAGTTGGAGCAGCAATACTCATATCAGATAAAATAGACTTTAAAATAAAGAATGTTACAAGAGACAAGGAAGGACACTACATAATGATCACAGGATCAAACCAAGAAGAAGATATAACAATTATAAATATATATGCACCCAACATAGGAGCACCTCAATACATAAGGCAACTGCTAACAGCTATAAAAGAGGAAATCGACAGTAACACAATAATAGTGGGGGACTTTAACACCTCACTTAACACAAATGGACAGATCATCCAAACAGAAAATTAATGAGGAAAACACAAGCTTTAAATGACACAATAGACCACATAGATTTAATTGATATTTACAGGACATTCCTTTCAAAAACAACAGATTACACTTTCTTCTCAAGTGCACACAGAATATTCTGCAGGATAGATCATATCGTGGTCACAAATCAAGCCTCAGTAAATTTAAGAAAACTGTAATCATATCAAGCATCTCTTCTGACCACAACTTTATGAGATTAGAAATCAAATACAGGGAAAAAAACGTAAAACACACAAACACATGGAGGCTAAACAATACGTTACTAAATAACCAAGAGATCACTGAAGAAATCAAAGAGGATATCAAAAAATACCTAGAGACAAATGACAATGAATACAAAACAATCCAAAACATACGGAATGCAGCAAAAGTAGTTCTAAGAGGGAAGTTTATAGCTATAAAAGCCTACCTCAAGGAACAAGAAAAATCTCAAATAAACAATCTAAACTTACACCTAAAGGAACTAGAGAAAGAAGAACAAACAAAACCCAAAGTTAGCAGAAGGAAAGAAATCATAAAGATCAGAGCAGAAATAAATGAAATAGAAACAAAGAAAACAATAGCAAAGATCAATAAAACTAAAAGCTGGTTCTTTGAGAAGATAAACAAAATTGAAAAACCATTAGCCAGACTCATCAAGAAAAAGAGGGAGAGGACTCAAATCAATAAAATTAGAAATGAAAAAGGAGAGGTTTCAAAATACACTGCAGAAATACAAAGCATCCTAAGAGACTACTACAAGCAACTCTATGCCAATAAAATGGACAACCTGGAAGAAATGCACAAATCCTTAGAAAGGTATAACCTTCCAAGACTGAACCAGGAAGAAATAGAAAATATGAACAGACCAATTACAAGTAATGAAATTGAAACTGTGACTGAAAATCTTCCAACAAAGAAAAGTCCAGGACCAGATGGCTTCCCAGGCAAAATCTATCAAACATTTAGAGAAGAGCTAACACCCATCCTTGTCAAACTCTTCCAAAAAATTGTGGAGGAAGGAACACTCCCAAACTCATTCTACGAGGGCACAATCACCCTGATACCAAAACCAGACATAGATACTACAAAACAAGAAAATTACAGATCAATATCACTGATGAATATAGATGCAAAATCCTCAACAAAATACTAGCAAACAGAATCCAACACATTAAAAGGATCATACACCATGATTAAGTGGGATTTATCCCAGGGATGCAAGGATTCTTCAATATATGCAAATCAATCAATGTGATACACCATATTAACAAATTGAAGAATAAAAACCATATGATCATCTCAATAGATGCAGAAAAAGCCTTTGACAAAATTCAACACCAATTTATGATAAAAACTCCAGAAAGGGCATAGAGGGAACCTACCTCAACGTAATAAAGGCCATATACGACAAACCCACAGCAAACATCATTCTCAATGGTGAAAAACTGAAAGCATTTCCTCTAAGATCAGGAAGAAGACAAGGATATCCACTCAGTAGTGTTGAACCACTATTATTCAACATAGTTTTGGACGTCCTAGCCACAGCAATCAGAGAAAAAAAATAAATAAAAGAAATACAAATTGGAAAAGAAGAAGTAAAACTGTCACTGTTTGCAGATGACACGATACTATACATAGAGAATCCTAAAGATGCCACCAGAAAACTACTGGAGCTAATCAATGAATTTGGTAAAGTTGCAGGGTACAAAATTAATGCACAGAAATCTCTTGCATTCCTATACACTAATGATGAAAAATCTGACAGAGAAATTAATGAAACAATCCCATTCACCACTGCAACAAAAAGAATAAAATACTTAGGAATAAACCTACCTAAGGAGGTAAAAAACCTGTACTCAGAAAAGTATAAGACACTGATGAAAGAAACTAAAGATGACACAAACAGATGGAGAGATATACCATGTTCTTGGACTGGAAGAATCAATATTGTGAAAATGACTATACTACCCAAAGCAATCTAAAGATTCAATGCAATCACTATCAAATTACCAATGGCAGTTTTTACAGAAGCAGAACAAAAAATCTTAAAATTTGTATGGAGACACAAAAGACCCTGAATAGCCAATGCAATCTTGAGGGGAAAAAAATGGAGCTGGAGGAATCAGACTCCCTGACCTCAGAGTATACTACAAAGCTACAGTAAAGCAGACAATATGGTACTGGCATGAAAACAGAAATATAGATCAATGAAACAAGATAGAAAGCCCAGAGATAAACCCACGCACCTATGGTCAACTAATCTATGACAAAGGAAGCAAGGATATTCAATGGAGAAAAGAAAGTCTCTTCAATAAATGGTGCTGGGAAAACTGGACAGCTACATGTAAAAGAATGAAATTAGAACACTCCCTAACACCATACACAAAAATAAACTCAAAATAGATCAAAGACCTAAATGTAAGACCAGACACTATAAAACTCTTACAGAAAAACATAGGAAGAACACTCTGTGACATAAATCACAGCAAGATCTTTTTTGACCCATCTCCCACAGTAATGGAAATAAAAACAAAAATAAACAAATGGGACCTAATGAAACTTCAAAGCTTTTGCACAGCAAAGGAAACTATAAACAAGACAAAAAGATAACTCTCAGAATGGGAGAAAATATTTGCAAACAAATCAACGGACAAAGGATTCATCTCCAAAATATATAAACAGCTCATGCAGCTCAATATTAAAGAAACAAACAACCCAATCCAAAAATGGCCAGAAGACCTAAATAGACAGTTCTCCAAAGAAGACATACAGATGGCCAAGAGGCACATGAAAAGCTGCTCATCATCACTAATTATTAGAGAAATGTAAACCAAAACTACCATGAGGTATCACCTCACACCAGTTAGAATGGGCATCATCAGAAAATCTGCAAACAACAAATGCTGGAGAGGGTGTGGAGAAAAGGGAACCCTCTTGCACTGTTGGTGGGAATGTAAATTGATACAGACACTATGGAGAACAGTATGGAGGTTCCTTAAAAAACTAAAAATAGAATTACCATATGACCCAGCAATCCCACTACTGGGCATATACCCAGAGAAAACCGTAATTCAAAAAGACACATGCACCCCAATGTTCATTGCAGCTCTATTTACGATAGCCAGGTCATGGAAGCAACCTAAATGCCCATCAACAGAGGAATGGATAAAGAAGTTGTTAGTACATATATACAGTGGAATATTAGCAATAAAAAGGAATGAAACTGGGTCATTTGTAGAGACGTAGATGGACCTAGAGACTGTCATACAGAGTGAAGTAAGTCAGAAAGAGAAAAACAAATATTGTATATTAACGCATATATGTGGAACCTAGAAAAATGGTACAGGTGAACCAGTTTGCAGGGCAGAAATAGAGACACAGATGTAGAGAACAAACGTATGGACACCAAGGGGGGAAAGTGGTGGGGCGGGGGTGATGGTGCTGGGATGAATCAGGAGATTGGGATTGACGACATATATACACCAATATGTATAAAATAAAAAACTAATAAGAACCTGCTGTATAAAATAAATTAATTAATTAACTTAAAAAGAAAGAACTATACCTGTAAAGTACATAACAGTTGCCTAATAGAAAACACAGCACCAGATGTTTAATTCTATTACTAAATGTCCACATTGTGTTAAAGCTATTTGTTTATATATTTTTCTCCCGTGTAGCATGTAGCTCAGAGGCTGGCACTTGTTATGTATTTCACAGATGACTGCAGAATGAAAGAATAACGTGCATGTTGAGTTGAATCAAGTGGAACTGATACTCATCAAGGTTCCTCCTGCAACTCTATGTAGGAGGGGTCTGTACTTCTCTCTAGAACTAAGCTCATGGAGGGATCACGGTCTAGACCCAGGAGGGTCGGACGAGAGCCGAGTTTCATGGTGAAACAACCCAAGCTTCTCAACATGCACTTGAGGGGGAGTTATGATTACTGTTATGCTTCTTGCTGGGCAGAACCAAAGACCCCACTCTAGTCCAGTGCCCCTTGATCTGCCAGCCAGGCTGCAATCAGAGAGGGAGAGAAGAGTCATCTGACAAGCCCTGTTCTTTTTCAAACCATGTGGATAATTACTCAGAACTCTATTTTCGTCGTGGTTTTTGCAAATTGATTTTATAATGATTTTTTATTTCAGGCATTTTGGCAGCTCTAAGGGGGGAAATAAAAGAGCCCATTAATGCCAGCATGTGTCACTGGGGACACCAAAGTGCTGAAAAGAAGAAGAAAAATATCCTTAATTAAAGCAGAAAAAGCTAGAGGTTACCTGGGTCTCTAAAATGTTGCCTTGCTGGCAGTCCAATTCTTGGGGCCGTTCATTGCCTCTCGGGGGACGTACATTATTCTGCTGGATAAATTCTTCCAGCCTTAAAACCTAAAACAGAAGAATAGAAACATTCAGCAATGAAACAAAGTCCTATCACCCGGCTGTGGTCATTAATCTGGGACCCATTCCCTTGGGTCAATCAGTTCTGGGGACTGTGCCCCACTAGACAAATCCCAGACACACTTCTAGAGAGGCCATTTCTAATTAGCTAGTTGCTTCGTCTCTCCAGAAGAAGATGAGCCTGGCAGGTTTACAATATTCCACACTTCTCTTTAAATTATTCACATCCACATAACTGTACCAGGGCTGTAGTATGGTTTCCATTAGTTTTCATACCATTCCTGGAAGGCCACCCTATTTCGTTTTTACAAAGTTAGTTGGTAAAGAAAAGGAACAATATTTAAGAATTATACAGATAATATGAGAGAAGAGTGGCTAAAAGCTGCTATTAAATTATAAAGCCTTAATTATGATTATTATTAACCAACTAATTGTAGAGTGTCAATTAAACGGTCTGGTTTCCCTGCTCTAGACTTTGAGAAGAACAAGGTCAATAACCATAAAGGAACCTCAGATGTTGCTAAAACTAATGCTCCTCAGGCAGCTCCTCAGGTGTAAAGTGGGGAGATGGGACAGAATGAGAGCAAGATGGTAAGATCATAAAATATCGTCCCTGCCTTCAAGGAGCTGTCATCTCATGGAGCAGACAGATGCATGTTTACAATCACAACAACATTCAGTAGACACATGTACAATATATAAGAGCATCATTAATGGTGTGTTTGCTCTGTGCCAGGCACAGACCTAAGCATTTTACAGTATTAACTCTTTTAATTCTCCTAACAATTACTATAAGGTAGGTACTACCGCAGAGAACTTACAGCAATAAACTCTGCCCAGGGAATTCCAGCACAGTGTTAAGGGCACTGAAGGATGAATAGGAGTCCGTCAGTGGCAAGTTCTTCTCCCTAGTAACACTGTCCACAACGCCTTTAAACTTTGAACTTGGTCCCTTGGTGGTTTGGACAAGTGGGCCCAAGAAGAAAACTCCATTGTTCAGCTGGTTTACATCCATTCCTTACCCTGCTCTCTTTGCCTGCCTCCACCAGGGAGGCCTGATGGCTAAATCCTTGCTTTCCCAGGCTGGCCACGTGGCACAGTTATTACCAATGGGAGTAGGAGTCAGCTGGGAGCTTCTGCGTATGCTTTTGTTTTCCTGATGAAGTGTGCAGGTCTGGTCATCCCTGCCCCTCCTTCTTTCCTGCTTTAACTTGGGGCATGACAACTGGAACAGTGACAGTCGTTCTCACAGCCAAGGGGAATCTGAGCCAACTTCTCCTATGTGCAGTGCTAGGAACCTATGATGCATTTAGGGGCCATGAAAATATTTTCATTTCTTTCAGAATCAGAATAAAAAACTGCAGCCTGGCCATATTCACCTTTATAACAGTGCAGTTACAAATTATAATTTTAAATTCTTTTTGATAAAGAAAAGAGCCCAGGAAGGCAGAAGTATCTAATGCCCAGGACACTGATAACACAGCCGGGGGTGGGGAGAGGGCAGGACCAAGATGTTTGCAGATTTTCCAGGCCTGATATCATTTAGCCACAGAATCAACACCAGCAGCCTCCTGCCTCCCTCTTTTATGTGTGACATTAAGTGCCTCTTTGTTAAGCCTCTATAAATCAGGCTCTGTTATCTGCAGCTGAATTTATGCCCCTGAGACAGCCTTCCTGTCAGGATGAAGTCCTTTTCTTCCTTCCAAGGATGCTAAATGTAAGGAGGTCAGGGAAGCTTCCCAAGATTCCTAGCATCTCAGTTCATCAAAAACTCCTGGAGCCCAGAACCATTATTCCAAGAACAGCTTTTATTCGGGACTTACCTCAAGCAGTGAATTCTGGAGCTTCACATTTAGGGCCTCTTTCTCTTCTTGCAGATGCTTTATTTCATTTTCTGATTTCTTCTTCACTTCCTCCAACTGTGCTTCTACTTCCTAAATGATGAATGGAAGAGTTAACCACACAAGCCACGAAAACGTGGACAGGACACACCCTGCCTTATTCCCAAAGGGGTTCAAAGAAACTCACAAGAGTCATAAACTACTATAAGAAAACATAAAGTAGGGCTCCCCTGGTGGCGCAGTGGTTGAGAGTCCGCCTGCCGATGCAGGGGACACGGGTTCGTGCCCCGGTCCGGGAAGATCCCACATGCCGCGGAGCGGCTGGGCCCGTGAGCCATGGCCACTGAGCCTGCGCATCTGGAGCCTGTGCTCCGCAACGGGAGAGGCCACAACAGTGAGAGGCCCGCGTATCGCAAAAAAAAAAAAAGAAAAGAAAACATAAATTAGAAATACATGAGAAAGTCCAAAGAAAACAGGTGCTAAATTCACACCACAAAGTCGAATATATACTGGGGGTGGGGGGGTGGGGGGGTGGGGGGGTGGGGGCAGAGTAAACCCCTGGCTTTAAGTTTTGTAGTGTCAAATAAGAAAACAGAATGCTCATTACTGACAAAATTCTCATGGTTCTATAAATCAAAAAGCCAACTACACCCTCAGTTGCAGGGAAATATCAAAAGCAGAATGAAATTTCTTCTTTGGCCCTCTCAACAGCATCCTTACTTTAGCCAAAATGATGGGATTCATAGGGCTGCTTCCTCCATGGTCCCTCCCCACAGCCTCACAGTCTCAGCACAAAGCAGCTCCAGATAAAAGAACATTCTGGAGCCCATGTGAGTGGTGCAGCTGCATTTTAGCTGTGTGATCTTGGGCAGATTTCCTAACCTCTCTGTGATTCAATGCATTACTTACATGCTTAGCACAGTTCTAGGTACATAGTAAGGGATCAATAAATGCTAAGTAGTACGATTCTTACAGATGCTTACGTTTTCTGATCTAGCTTAATATCTGGGGAAATTTTTCAAGTGTCTAGAGCAGTGGATGAAATATTCTGTTCCTCGTAGCTGAATTTTAGGTAGATATTAAGTCATTTATTTGTTCAACAAATATTTATTGAGACCTACCATGTGCTTGGCACTGTTCTTGAAGCTGGGGATAAAAACAGACAATATGCTTACTCACCAGGAGCTCACGTTTGCGTGAAAGAGATAGGCAGCAAAGTCAACAGCTATAACGCAGTAGATACCATGCTGGATGGTGATAATTGATTACAGACCTTTATGGTCTAACTGGAAGTAGATGACATATTAGCAGTTGACATTTACTGAGTGTGTGCCATTTTCTGGGCGCTTTTCACAGATCATCTCGTTGATCCTTATGAAAACCCTATGAGCTAGGTAGTATTGTTAAAGCTCATTATACAGATGAAGAAATGAAGCTTGAAGAGGTTAAATAACTTGCCCAAGGTCATGCAGCCCGTAAGCAGAAGAGTCAAGATCCAAACTCAGCAAAGGATGACCCCTTGGCTGTGCTTCTTCCCTGCCTGCATGGGTCCGGTTATACGTGGACATTTTTCAACAGTAAATACTACAGTACTACACACTCTGTGGTTGGTTGAACCTGTGGATGTGGAGGAACTGCAGATACGAAGGGCCTACTATAAGTTATACTTGGATTAACTCCCACGTTGTTCAAGGGTCAACGGCAGAATGAATGGACTTTATGGCTGATCGAATGTGAGGGATGACAGAGAAATTATGGATTTCTGGATTTCTGACTCCTGGATTTCTAACCTGATCATCTAAAAAGATGCTGCTACTGATCATCTGGATGACACCTTTACACTTTCTATGGGGCCAGCCCCAGGCCAGGCCAGTGGCCCTGGGGTGGCGCTTCGCATTGTCCCTGGGGTCAGTCATTTAAAAGAGAAGAAAAGAGGGCTGTGATTGGATTGTAAGGGTCGCATGATGTGGACACTTAGGCCAACGTTATAGTATCTTCAGTAAATCCACCATCTCCTTTTGCAGGGCTTGTTGCTTTGGAGAGTTCATTTTCTGAAGATGATAGATAAACTTTTTATTTAAAACAAGTGGAGATAACTTAAGCAACCATCAGAAATAAGGCCGTCCCCTCAGCAAAGATTCTGATTTTTTTTTTACTTCATTATTTAGTCCCTCATTCACAGAATCTTTTATTGAACAGAAGTTTTGTTTAACCTGCTTATTGGTGCGGACACCCGCTAACTCTGCCAAGGCATGTTCACTGTAACAGCACAGTGGAAACCCCCTGCGAGAAAGGTGCTTAGCATAAAGCAGTGGCTATTTCTAATCTTGCACAGCCTAACGTCCTAGGGTATATGTAATCAATCACAGCTTCAGCTGTTGCCTTGACAAATGGACCTAAAGGGAAAAAATTTCCCCACAAATTTCCTCAAGTGACCTTGAGGATTTCAACAGGAAGCGTTAACATTCTCTTCCTAACTCGTGGAAAGAGAAAAAACAACTACAAAGACAAGAATGTGAGGAAAAAGAAGGAGATGAGTGCTTTCAGATATACAAATTGCTGCATCCCACCCCTGGAAGAAGGCTCCATGGGCTATGAATTTACAGGATTCACAGAGTACTTTCATAAGCTCTGTTCTCATTTAACTCTCATAATACTTATGGAAAAAGGCTTTATTGCATCCATTTCACATGGAGCAAATCCAATGGCTGGTAAGAGGCAAAAGCAGGACTCCCACCCTTTTTCTGCTTTCTTGTCTAGATTGTCCACAATTACTGGCAGTTTAAGAAAAGACAATTAAGGGAGCCACTGTGATGGGAACAACAAATAAGCAGCCACAGGAAATCACCAAGCAGAGATTTCAGTTGGCATTTTAAAGGAAAACACGTTAACTTTTTTCAAGAAGAAAAATCACTCTTTGGTATGTATTTATAGTAAAGTTCCTGGTGTAGCTGAAAGAGTAAACCAGTACAAAGCCTGAAATGTCACTCAGAAGGGGAAGGCAGAAGAGATAATGATCTTAAAATTTCCATACTGTATAAAAACTATAACCCACAGCAAAACATTGCAAATAAACTACACTTCAATTTAAAAATCTGAATACAGAAAAAAACTATAACCTACAGACCCAAGGCGTCCAAACAGAACCCCAAACAGAAAAACACAAAGAATATCACACCATGACATATCATAATCAAATTGTGATATGATAAAGAAAAAAGTCTTAAAAGCAATCAGAAAACAAAAAGATACACTATGCACAGGGGAGAACAGATGAGAGTGGCTACCAACTTTTCATCTGAGGAAAATACAAACCAAAAATTTTAAAAAGTTGAACAGCATCTTTAAAGTGCTGAAAGAAAACAAACTGTTAACCTAGAATTCTATATCCAGCAAAATAACCTTCAAAAATGAAGGCAAAATAAAGACATTTTCAGACATATAAACACTGAGAGAATTTGCTGTGAGCAGACTGACACTACAAGAAACATTAAAGGAAGTTCTTCAGGCCAAAAGAAAATGATACCAGATGGGGTGCTTGAATATGCCAAAGGAATGAAGAGGGTAGCAATGGTAAATCAGAAAATATAAAAGACTTTAGTTTTCTCATTTAAAAATTCTCTCTGAGAGATAATTGACTATTTAAGGAAATAGAAAAGCGATGTAGAGTTTATAACATATGTAAAGTAAAACACATGACAACAACTTCACAAAGGTTAGGAAAGGCTAAATAAAAATAGTGTGTTGCTGTAAGGTTTGTACAGTGAAGTATATATGTATTGCTTCTCCGTACAAACCTTACAGCAACACAATATGTATGAAGTAACATCATATTATTTGATGGCAGACAATGATAAAGTCGCATGTTAGAAATCCTACAGCAACCATGGCACACCATCCTCTCCCCAAAAGAAGAATATCTAACAAGTCACTAGTGGAGATAAAAAAGGGAATACCAGGGCTTCCCTGGTGGCGCAGTGGTTGAGGGTCTGCCTGCCGATGCAGAGGACACGGGTTCGTGCCCCAGTCCGGGAGGATCCCACATGCCGCGGAGCAGCTGGGCCCGTAAGCCATGGTCACTGAGCCTGCGCGTCCAGAGCCTGTGCTCCGCAACAGGAGAGGCCACAACAGTGAGAGGCCCGCATACCGCCAAAAAAAAAAAACAAAAAAAAGGGAATACCAAAAGCTATATATTCAAGTAATCAAAAATAAACAGGAAAACAGGCAAAAAGAAAAAAAGATGTGACAAAAAGAAAAAAAAAACTCAGCAATATGGTAGACTTAATGATAATTACATTGAATGTAAATGGTCTAAATGACCCTCAAAAATCAGACTGCCAAGCTGAATAAAACAGAAAATCCAGCTATCCTATTTGGGTTGGCCAAAAAGGTCGTTCAGGTTTTGTAACATCTTATGGATCCAGGACGAACTTTTTGGCCAACCCAATACAAACGCACTTTGACTAGAAAGACACAGGTAGGTTAAAAGTAAAGGAATGGATTAAAATAGACTGTAACACTAACCACAAAAATGATAGAATGTCCATATTTTTATCAAAGTAGACTTCAGGACAAGGAATATTCCATAACGAGTAAGGGGCCAATTCATTGAGAAGACATAATAAGCCTAAATGTGTATGTACCTCATAAATAAGTTTGAATTTATCTAAAGCAAAAACTGACAGGACTAAAAGGGAAAATATAAAAACTGACTTAAATTAGATTTCAATACTCCTCTCTCAATAATCAACAGAACAAATACAGAAGAAATTAGTAAGGAAATAAGATACTTGAACAACACTATCAACCAACTTAACCTAATTATCATTTATGAAACACTCCACTCAAGAGCAGCAGATCCATATTCTTTTCAAGGGCACCTGGACCATTCATCAAGATAGACCATCCCTGGGCCATACAATAATATGAGCTAATTGAAAAGGAAAGAACAGAATCTGTTCTTTGATCACAAGAGAACTAAATTAGAAATCAATAACAAAGAGATATCTGGAAAGGTTCCAAATCTTTGGAAATTAAGCAACCTATTTCTAAATAATGAAGAGTATTTTTGGAGTTGATAGAAATAAAAAGTTGAAAAGAATTAGACAAAATCATTCACATTCACATTATTACTGAAATTAGAAAGCAGAGGCCTAGAATGGTTTGGGGTGACTTATTTAAGGTGACAACGTGGCTGCTTCCCCAGCACAGCACTTCTTACACCCTGACTTGACAGATGGTTTCAGTGCATGTCTTGTTCCTCCTTCCAGACTGTGAGCTCCCTGTAGGCATGGCTGATTCGTGTATCCCTGCATTGCTCAAAACACCAAGTACGCATTCAATGAATGATAAATAAACCATAAATGGATATTAGCAGGGTGAAGACCTGAAGGCTGCTCTCCAAGGCCCAGGGCAATGTTTATTCTGTTCTGCTACATAGACAGAGGGCAAAAGTTAGTGGCTTTAGAGTCGAGGCAGCCCTGACTCACACCCAATTCATGTGATACTCAAGTGACTTCACTTCCCAGGTTCCTCATCTGTGAAATGGGAAAACAAGCCCTGCCTACAGGGCTGAGGTAAGAATTAAATCATGGAGTGGAGAGCTATTGTTCCTTTTGGCTGCCCAGCCTCTGATCCTTCTCTGAATGTTTGGGAAATTCTCCATCTGATACATCAGAGCCATCCTTCCACCACAGAACCAGAAAATGTCAGACTTACCTTCCCAGACTCCCTTGTGATGAGGGCATGGGCATGTGATTGAGGCATGTGATCAAGGCATGTGACCAATCAGACACACCCACCCCGGATTTTGAATTGGAAGCCATCGATACGTACAAGCTGGAGTCATAAAGGATCTGGCAACTGAACTTCCCAGGGGCAGCAGGGGCAGCCATTTTACAGCAGCTCTGACTGACGGAACTTTCCGTGACGATAGAAATGTTCTAAAATATAATGTAGCTAATGTGTAGAAATCCCTCAACACTGTGCTATCCAATCTGGGAGCCACTAGCCACATATGGCAATTGAGCTCTTGAAATGTGGCGAGTTCCACTGAGGAACTGAATTTAAAATATTATTTAATTGTAATTGATTTAAATGTAAATAACCACATGTGTCAAGAGGCTACCATATTGGACACTGCAGTTCTGCAGGCAACATCCAGGGCCCAGTGTTGGTGGTGTCAGCTGTGTAAACAGAAGGTCTGGGCTCAGACATGGCAGCAAGGGTGTCTTCATCACTGAGTAGTTTGCCAAGCCCAGTTCCCTGGTTTTCCAGAAAGCTTTTCATTACCCTTTACTAAATTCCTTTCTTACCTAAACCGCCCAGGGTGGGTTTGTGATGCTTGCCACCCAGAATCCTAAGTGATACAAATGAGGTGTAGAACGCAGCAGTGTCTAGAACAGCTCAGTGAGGACTCAATAAATCTTTCCACACTCTCCTAGGTATCAACGTGGGCAAGTGCTAATTATAGGACACGTACTCTGCTCTGTCTGTGAAGATTAAGTTGTGATATCATCTAATCTACAGACAGGAAAGGCATATAAACTGGGTGAACTCCAGCCCATCTCCTGTGGTGTCTTTTTCAGGTTAAGGTAGCATTCACGATACACAACATACTTATACTCAAGGGCCCAAAGGAACAGTGTGCTCTTAACTCTAGAGGGGAAACCGGTATCTATTTTTAGTCCATGAACACCAGATCTGGGACCTCTTCAAGTTTTTACCTTCCTGTAGTCTGCATGGCCTAATTTATATAACTTATATCCTCAGTTTGTAGAAATGACCATAATTTTTAAAAAGAAAATAAAAAACCAGGAGGAAATGCAATTTATTTCTACATGATTCATTTCCCAAACGGAACCATGCCTCTGATTAAAGCTCAAGTGGGATTTCTACACTCAGAGTCAGGCTTGGCTGACAGGTTACCAGGGCAACCTGTAGCTCTGGGAGAGCTACTGTCCCTCCCACTGATTGTGGCTCACGATGGAAAGCGGCTTCAGCTTTCCTCCAATGAGGATTGGATTTGTGCAACCTGTCACTGCTCATAGGGAGGAAAGTGCTTTCAATACAGCTGCTTCCCTCTCTGTGCAGGGATGGGAAACCATGGCCTCTGGAGTCAGGCTGTCAGGTTTTAATGTAGCTGCATCACTCACTGTCTGTGTGAGTGGATACATAACATCTTTGAGCCTCAGTTTTCTCATCTCTGAAATGGGGATATGAACACTCATTTTGTAATCCTGTTGGGTGGATTAAATGTGTTCATAAGAATAAAGTGCTTTATAAAGTATAGTGGACACTAAATAATATTATCACACATGATGTCATCTAATGCACATGGTAACTAATCACAGCCACCGTTTATCAAACTTTTGCTACATGTTGTACACTGAGATAAGAGTTTATATATAAAACCATATTTAGGGGCTTCCCTGGTGGCACAGTGGTTAAGAATCCGCCAGCCAATGCAGGGGACACGGGTTCGAGCCTTGGTCCAGGAAGATCCCACGTGCCACGGAGCAACTAAGCCTGTGCACCACAATTTCTGAGTCTGCACTCTAGAGCCTGAGGGCCACGACTACTGAAGCCCATGCACCTAGAGCCCGTGCTCCGCAACAAGAGAAGCCACCGCAATGAGAGGCCCGTGCACCACAATGAAGAGTAGCCCCTGCTCACTGCAACTAGAGAAAGCCCGCGTGCAGCAATGAAGACCCAACGAAGCCCAAAGTAAATAAATAAATAAATAAATAATTTTAAAAACCACCATATTTAATTCACATAACAAGCCCCCAAAGTATTTATCCTTATTTTCAAAATCAGATTTCAGAAAGATTAAGTGACCTGTCCGTGGTAGTAAAGCCAGTGAAAGAGTCAGGACTTGGACCCAGGACTAGACTTTCTTAAGTTCATTTATTTATCCAACACATATTTATTGAGTATCTACTACTCTTCACCACCACACATTGTATTCCTCAGTGATATATGATTATCTTTCAGTGAAAACTCATAGTGATAATGTAAGTTCTTAGATTAGAAAGAAGCCTTCTTATAATAATTAAAGCACCACCTATGCTCACAATAATACTGATATACTTCACTCTTTTCCTAAAGCATTCATATACATGTTATTTGCTTTCCTCAGCAAACACGAGGGATGATGCTTTGCATTCCCTCTCAGCAGAAAACGCCCCCTTTGGTGGGAAGTTGGAACAGAACTCAGAGGCTGAGAAACTTCTCTCCCACTGGCTAATTAATTACCTTCATCTACCTAATGCCTCTTACGCCCCAGGCACTACGATGTGCTTCGTTTTTTCACACATGGATTACCTCATGCAATCCTCGCAGCTACTCTGTGAGGTGCTATTATCACCATCTGTTTTATAAATGAGTAACTTGGGGCCCCCGCAGAGTTTCCCTGTGAGGAGTCCAGGTTAAATAACTTTCTGTGGTCACAGAGCTAGAGGGTGGCAGAGCTGGGATTTGAATCCAGGCAGTCTGCCAGGCCTGCGTGTTCACTTCATGTTATTTCTCTCTGTTTTTGCAGATTAGAGGATTTGAATTTCCCTAAGTTAAACACTCATATGACACAATTCCACCGCATGTCAACAACTCTAGGCCCTATTGTCTCACAGCCCTGGGGTGCCCTGTCTCCTCCTGAAGACTCTGAACTCCCTCTGATCAGAGAACTAGCTGAGATCTATATACAACAGGAGCTCAGTAAATGTTTGAGGAAGGAAAGAAGAAACAGAAGAGGAAAGGAGGGAGGTAGAGGCAAGGAAAAACAAACGGAACGGTATCTCTGAAAGGGGATCTCACCTTCTGTAGCCTCTGCCTCTCAGCTTCCACTGATGAGCGAACTAATTGGATTTCCACCATGTGCTTCTTCACCAAGTCTTCTAGGCGCTTCACCAGCTGGTCTTTGAGATGTTTCTTCTCCTCTTCTGTCTGATCTTTGATTTTACGAAGGTCTTCTTCATATTTTTGCTTCATACATTCTGTCTCAATACATGCCTCTTTCTTGGTCTATAAAAAGAAAAAGGGCTTGTAAAACTGCCAGGGTGGGGAGAGGAGGAGATAACCATTTCTCTTTTGTGTAACTTCTACAATGTTGATTACTGATTTCAAAGCATGTATCACAAGGTACAATAAAGTTTATAAAATCACGTTTGATATCTGTAAGAGACTTCACTTTATCCACCATCGGAAAAGGGCTTTTTGGAGTAGTATCTATTGTATTATCTATAGTATCTATTGTATTATCTATAGTATCTATTGTCATAGGATCAGATATTCCAGCCCATACTATGGCGGTTTCTAAAAAATGCTTTGTTTGTTTTGACTGGGAACATATAGCAGGAACCTTAAGCAAGCTTCCAGTTTCCCAGGAGCTAATGATAAGGAGTTGGGGGAATTCTGCTACATTCTCAGTCTCCTGGCTTGACATGCAATGACATGCAGTTGGCAGGACGTTGGCTGGAACTTCACACCCATGCATGCACCCCTGAAACTATGGGACCTGTTGCTTCCAAGTGGACCTGTCATGGTTTGGGGCTGGCCTCCATCTGAAGCTCATTCCAGCAGAGTCCCCCTGTGACTGCTCCATCCCCAGGACTGGGTCAGACAGTACCTGTGTATCTGTGCCTCCTTTCGTGCATGGACACTCCTTGGGAAAGTTCTGATCCTGCTGAGGATGGAGACTGCAGGCTTCCAAATCATTCTCTTTCCCTAGGACTTTATTCTCTGAAACCCTCTCAGTCTTCATGTCATCTGCAAGTACAGTGTCAACATCATTGGGAATGCCCTTGGCCTTGGCCTCATGCCTGAGGCCTCTGCAGTTGGGTTGCCATTCTGCTATTCAACTATTTTGCCCTTGACTCCCCTATGTAATCCCTGCTCCATGGCCTTCTGGCCTCAAGCAAGGTCCAAGTGGTGATTGTCACCTTTGCCCAAGTAGCATCTTGAGTTCAAACAGTTGTCCGGCTCTCCCTTCTTAAACTAGTCATCTTCAAATTTTTTTGATTGTGCTTTCCATAGTTTAAAAAGAAATTGAGGACGTTCCTGGATATATGTACATTCAAAGGATTTAAATAAAGAGATTTCAAGTATAAGACAAGAAATAAATATAGTTACAATTGCTCAGTTTCTTCCCATATGCCCTACTTCTGAGACCACTGCTGTAAACCCTCTATACCCTCTGGTTCCAACTCGTACTTTCCAGCCCGAGGTGATTTCTTCTTTCCCAGACACCTCACTGCTGCCTGGGCCGCACCCATGATAGCAAGGCATGCTGTGGGCTGTAAAGTAGCAGTCCCATAAACTCCCTAGAGGCAGAGCCTATGTTTTGTGCCTTTGTTATATCTCCCAGTGTCAAGCTGATGACACTGTACATACTCAAACACTTTCTGATGAGGGAGCTCAGTGGAAAGCACTTTGGAGTCAGATAATCTGAGACTCAAACACCACCTCTATCACCAGGCAGCTGGCTGGCCTTGAGCTAGCCACGTTAACTTTCTCAGCCTCATGTCTTCATCTGTGACATGGGATACTGACGATACCTAACTCACAACATTATTGGGAACACCCAATAACATCACTGTGTGAATGATGTTAGAGTATAAAGCGTTGTCTAAGTCTAGGGAAAAGCCAGAGCTGAGAAGTTCAGGCACTACGGTGGATCTGGTGGAGAACTTTCTGGGGGGCCAGACATCCTTTTGCATCATGCCTTTTAAATACCTGACCTGCGGCAGCTCTGGATGTCGGCTCACTTGTGTCCTGCATGGATGGGACTTGCCCACCAGGCAGGTCGGATCAAATAGCCCTGCCCTCCACTCTGCTCCCTCAACGTCTCAAGGCTGCAAGCAGCGTCAGGCCAACCTTTGCTGTGTAAGGAAATCGTTCCGGGCATCTCACCGCTTTTCTGTGTCACATGACACTCCTGCAACATTAGTCTGTCTTTGGCAACAGCCAGCTTCTCCCCAAGTTTTTCTGCAGTGCTTTTTAACTCTGAATTCTCCTGTCGAGCCTCCTTGAGCTGCACATCCAGGTCCTAAACAGACAGAAAGGGTCTCATTTCTCTTGTTACAGTTCTGGGTCAAGACATCCTATGTACATCAGATCTGAAAAGTGGGTAAGTGCACAGCATATGCCTTTAATCTCTGGAATTCAGTGGCTCAGGGTTCATCAAATCCCTACTCATCCTCTGATTGGCTGTGTGACTTCTGGCAAGTTATTTAACCTTTCTGTAGTGAGGATCAAATGAGATAAAGTGTCTGGGACGGAAAAAAAAATACTCAGGGAGTATGAAGGATACTAGCTGCTGTTACTTTTAGAGATGGGGCTCTGTGAGTCTGTGGGCCTCATGTAACTGACTTGTCAATGGTCTGGCTTTCCACAAATACAAAGCCCCAAGGATGTTAGGACAGCAAGTTGTTACGGAGTGAGTGGGGCGTTTAGAATTAGGCTGAATTGAGTTCAAACACTTTGTAGCTGTGTGCCCAGCTAGGGCCATCCTTAAGCTTCTCAATTTCGGTTTTATCTTCTCATCTCTAAACTGTAAGTCTCTCAGCTCTCAGAGGACAGGGATCAAGGCCGGCTCACCGTGTGTCTCCTGCCCACAGCTCCGGCCTGGCACATGGTAAGTGTTGCACACACACTTGCTGAATGAATGTGGTTGAACTCCATGGAGGTAATAATGCTCGCTCTGGCAGAAGTCAAGGGCTTCGCACAGTGCGTGACACACGGTAGGTGTTCGACACTAGGGGCCATGCTTAGTCTCCCACTTGGAAGGTAGGAAGAGTCCCGGCTTTACCTGAATGCGGTCCTTCAGCTTCTGGGCGTACTTCTTCAGGTCACTTATCTTGCGGCCTCTGTGCTCCAGATCCCCTTCTAGCTTCCGGACCTGGGCCTGCAGGGCCGCCTCCTGGGCCTGGAAGTTCTTCCGGAGGTCGGTCTCCTTCTCCTGCCACTGCCACAGGGCCTCGCTCACCGACTGCTGCATGGCCTGCTGGACGGCCTCGTTCTCCCGCTCGTACGTGGCCTGCAGCTCCTCAGCCTTCCGAGCATAGTCCTTGCTCAGCTGCTGGTTCTCCGCTCGCAGCCGCTCCACTTCCAGCAGGACCTCCCGCATTTCGGGGCCGCAGCCCGGCTCAGCCTGGGGCTTGGGACCCTCCTGGGCGAGCCCGCCCCACCCGGGCGCCTCGTGGCCGCTCATGTGCCGGAGCCTCTTCTCGTAGTCGGCCTTGAGCTCCAGCATCTCCTTGGAGAGGGTGAGCACCCGCTCGGCGTGCTCGGCCTCCACCCTCAGCTCCCTCTCCTGGGTCTCCAGCCTGCACGCGGCCGACCGGGCCAGCGCCTCCTGCGTCAGCCGCTTCTGCAGCTCCAGGGCGCTCTCCAGGGCCTGGACGCGCTGTCTCAGGGCCTCCTCGCCCGCGCGGCCCTGCGCCTGCAGGAGCCTGGCCTCCGTCTCGGCCACCGCCTTCCGCAGCTCCTCCTGGTGGGCCTCACGCAGCGCCTCCATGCCCGCCTCGGCCTCGTCCTGGCGGGTGTTGAGGGTATAGATCACCTGCGGGAGAATTCGCGGAGCCGGGTTAGTGGGAGGGGCGTGGGTGTGGTTGAGGGGCCACGTGACCGGAGAGGGCCGTGACCCTGCCGTGACGTAGGCTGATCCCCATGAGCTGCACCTGAGAAGAGGATTTGAGTGGAAGTGATTAGAAACTGTCCTCAGGAGAAACCGGTAAGGAGTTCCATTGGGACCTCTGGGAAGCACCATGGGAATCCAGTGAAGGGTCTGAAACAATCTGGGCCGCAAAAAGAGCCCCTCAAAACCAAACCAAAACAAAATACAACAAAACACTAGAAAGTAGAATCCAGCAATGTAAAAAAAGGATTCCACACCATGACCAAGTGGGATTTATCCCGAGAGTGCAAAGTTGATTTAACATCTTAGAATGGGATTGGCATATATACACTACTATGTGCAAAATAGAGAGCTAGTGGGAGCCTGCCGTATAGCACAGGGAGCTCAGCTCTGTGCTCTGTGACGACCTAGATGGGTGGGATGGGGGCGGGGGGCGGGCAGAGAAGGAGGGAGTCCAAGAGGGAGGGGATATAGGTATACATATAGCTGATTCACTTCACTGTACAGCAGAAGCTAACAGAACATTGTAAAGCAACTATGCCTCAATTTTTAAAAAAAAAAGACAGAATAAACAGAAAACCGAAAATAGTAAAGAAAAAAAAAATCAATGTGACACACCACGTGAATAACATAAAGGACAAAACCCACAAGATTGTTTCAACAGACACAGGAAAACCATTTGACAAAATCCAATACCTCTTCATAACAAAAACACTGACCAAACTAGAAAGAGAAGGGAACTCCCTCAACCCAATAAAGGGCATCTATGAAAAACCCACAGCTAACATCGTACTCCATGGTGAAAAACTGTTCTCCATAACTTCAGGGCTAGGTGCTGAATACACATTCAGAATCTCAGAAAATCCTCATGGCAGCCCTGCAAAGTTGGTATTTTTCTCCCCATTCTAATAATGAAACATTGAGGTTCAGAGAAATTAAGCAACTTTTTCAAGGTCACAAGGGATAAGAAGATTTGAATAACCTGTGCTCACAGCATGGTACTGCACTGTATCTCACCATCCCTCTTGAACATTCATTCATTTACGCATTTACTGAATATCTTAGATGTACCATGTTCTGTGCTGAGCACTAGGAATATGTGCTGATCAATAAGGCAACTAAGGGCTTCCTTGGTGGCGCAGTGGTTGAGAGTCCGTCTGCCGATGCAGGGGACACGGGTTCGTGCCCTGGTCCGGGAGGATCCCACGTGCCGCGGAGCGGCTGGGCCCGTGAGCCATGGCCGCTGAGCCTGCGCGTCCAGAGCCTGTGCTCCGCAACGGGAGAGGCCACAACAGTGAGAGGCCCGCGTACCGCAAAAAAAAAAAAAAAATTAAAAAAAAAATAAGGCAACTGACATTGTGACCTCAAAAATATTATAATTGGTCAGGAGAATCTGACAAGAATATGGTCAGTTTCAACGCACTAAGCGCTATGTGAGGGATCAGCACCACTTACTAGGAAAATACAGAGGGAGGGTCTAGTAGAAAAGACAACTTCCCAGAAAAAGGGAGCCTTGTCTCCTCATCCTTGGGGGTGACCCGTTCCCTTTTACATGTCAACCTTCATGTGGGTAAGAACAATATGACTTCTTTGTGTTGTATCATAGCACTTGGTATGAAGTTGAGCACACGACAGGTTCATAATAAGTATCTATTACGGTACTATTGCTGGTCATCAAAGATTCATGCTTTCTTTCCACAGAGTTGCTGCAGAGGAACAGCCACCAAGCAGAGACCACGTTTCCTAGTCCCTTGCATCTAGCTGGGACCATATGACTAGTGATTGCCAATGGAATGTGGCCAGAGGTGGATGTGCGTCATCTCAGGGCCAACGCTGGGGTTAGGGTTAAGGGGAGGGTTAAGAAGGAGGCATGTCCTTTCCCGTCTCTTTTTCCAACTGCAAACTTACTGTGGAGTGCAAGATGGAAGGTGCCTGGGTCCTCAGTGACTGAGTAGAAGGCCACCTGCCCACCAGGAGCACTGGCCTTGATCTCTACATGAACAAGAAATAAACTATCGTGTTGAGCCTCTGAAGTCTTGACATTTATTTGTTACCGCAGCCATGATCACCCTGGGAGAACTCACAGGACTCAGCATATAGTCATACTCATGGCTATGATTAATCATAGAGAAAGGATACAAAGCAAAATCAGCAAGCGGAAAAACGAGCTTGGCAGTGGTGGAGGTCAGCGGGGAGTCTGGAGGAAACGAGGTGAAAGCTTGCAAGAATCCTCTGCGAGTGGAGTCACACAGGACTTGCTTAATTTCCCCAGCAAGGGGGTGTGACAACACATGTGAAATACTGCCTACCAAAGGAGCTCATTGAAGAGGTAGCAAGGTTTTTATTGGGGGCCAGTCGGGTAGACAACTTCTTCTCGGCATTACCAGAATTCCAGACTCCCAGAAGGAAACTGCTCACATAAATTACATTGTTTGCACGAACAGTTAAGGCCTGCTGAGATGTTCTTATTAGTGTGGGTGATGGGAACCCTCTGGAAATCCACGTTCCCAGATGCCAGCCAAGGGTCAATTTTGCAAACAGACCATTCTAAGGATAAGCAGTCTCAGGTGTGCTATGTTAACTTTTCTGCAACCTGACACCCCAACTGATAAAAAAAGATTGACTTTTATTTTCAGTGGAGTCAAGCTGTGGCAGATCAAATCTTAACGTAAATGGGGTTTTCTCACGGTGAAGAACAAAACATCCTTGTAAAGTTTATTCCGTGAAATTTGGCATTGGTTATTCCATTGAGGATGAAATCAATGAGTGGTGGTGGTGGTGATCTTGGGAACTGCGGTTCCTATATTCACTATACCTGTACAACAGAAAACTTCGATGGAGATCCAGTATATTCTGATGCCACTAAAGCACTTAATGAAGAAAGAACCCAAACATTGTACCCATTTGAGTGAGAACCATGTCACCTGGATCAGGGTCTAAAGGACTTCAGCTTTTTCCAGCATTCACTCATGTGAGTCTGCCCTGTCTGTGAAAATGCTCCCCATGGGCACACCCTTGAATTAACACAAGACCAGATTTCAGGCTGGAGGTAGCAGAGAGGGTCTCACACTAGGCTCGAGGCTCAAGGCACTTTGGCATGTACACTTTTATTCGTGGTGTCTTGCAATTAAAGTCCCCAAACAATCCCCACCAAAGACCTGCCCAAACTGTTCTCTTAGGCTGAGATCTGGTTTCAGAACTTTTGGCTTTCTAGAGGTGCCAGACCCACCGTCTCCTGACCTTCCTTAGAAGGTTACTCCAAGGGTATGTAGACATAACCTGGAAAGTATGATACGTTATTATTCATATCATATTTTAGTCACCATCCTTTTTTATACACATATACATTCATATGCACCATTTTTTTTAATTTCATAGATATCTTGGAGATTATGCCATTTCTATATATAAAGAGATCCCTCATTTTTATTTTTGGCTACTTCCTATGCCATATCATATGGATGTGCTATGAATTATTTCTCCATTACCTGCTGATAGACATTAAGTTGTTTCTCTGTGGAAGATCATCAATATGTTTGCTTCGGTGTTATTAAATAAAATTTTCCTTACTCTTTTTTTCCATTCCTCCTGGTAATCTTGAGGTCCAATTTTTGCTTATGAATGCAACAAATGAAATTCCAGAGCTTGGTCTTAAAAAACTAATCTTCACAGTTAGTATAGAATCTTAGGAAAGAGATGAAAGAGGTGTCTCCTCTCCCAACCGTAGGTGGGGAGAGATGCCATTTTCCATCATAAAACTGATATGAAGAATTTGTATTAGAATTCTTCAGTTCAAAAGCATCAAACTCATTTCCCTGAACAACATGGAGTCATTTGTGAATGTTCACAGCTGTGCCCATGGCAAGGGCACTCCTGGCACTACTCTGTTGGGTCATCTTGCCTATTCTCAAGTCAGTCTCATCTTTTTCCACTCTCTCCACTTCCTCATTCCCACAACCTTGATCTCTGAGCTTGCCCTCCTTCTTCGCCTAGCCCAATAGTCTCTTTTTACCTTAATTTCTCTCCTTTAAAGCCACAACCAATCATGTCAACTACCTTCTTATTGACATCTTCAAATCACCTGCGCACCTCATCTTTAGCCTCCAGATCAACCCATCCACCTCAGCTCTTGTCAAATACTACTAACTGGTACTTAAGATTTCCAACCTCATCAGTGCTCTCCATGCGGATACCATTTAATTGAGTTATTGTAGTAATTCCCTATTCTTTTTTTCCACAAGGGCTATTTCAATTTTCTACCATGTTTCTCAGGGCTGCGACCCTAAATCCTGGACCACTGCTACTCTCCTAGCACAGTTATCTCCTGGTTTTTTTTTTGCAGTATGCGGGCCTCTCACTGTTGTGGCCTCTCCCATTGTGGAGCACAGGCTCCGGACGTGCAGGCTCAGCGGCCATGGCTCACGGCCCCAGCCGCTTCGCGGCATGTGGGATCTTCCCGGACCGGGGCACGAACCCATGTCCCCTGCATCGGCAGGCGGACTCTCAACCACTGCGCCACCAGGGAAGCCCCTCTCCTGTTTTTTTTGAAGGAGTAATGATTAAGGGCTTGGACTCCAGAACCAGCCAAACTCAGCTGAAGTCCTAGCTTCACTGTCTCTTAGCTGGTGACCTGGGTCAGGTGATTCAACCTGTCTGGAGCTCAGTTTCCTAACAGTAAAATCGGATTAACAATAGCACCAACCTCCTAAGGCTACATTGAGGGCTACATGAGATATTGCATAGAGACACCAGATACCCAATAACTACATAATGAATATTACCTTCTGTCCAGAGAAAAGGACTTGGACTTTTAACTGCAGGCTGGGAAAAAGCCAGAGCATTTGGTCATTCTTGGTATAGTATTGGGGGCAGAAGCAGACTGGTGTGGTTAAAGAGAGAATGGAGGGTGGGGAAGGGGAGATTAA